TTAGGGTTTTAGGGTTTAGAGTTTCATAGATCTTTAAGAACAAGGGTTTCTTTTTGGGCTTTATGGGGCTTTTTGGGTTTTAGGGTTTAGCGTTTGGGTATGGATTTTAGTGCAGTGTTTTTTTAGGAAAACGTTCAGGGCTTGCATAGGGTTAGGTCTAACGGCTGCAATAAGGGCTTGCATAAGGCTTAGGGTTAGGGTTGATACAAGGTATGGTCTTTATTGTTAGTATCCGCAAAAAAAGCCCCAATATATACATTCACCAAACTTGATCATAAGACCCAATATATACGTTCACCAAATTTCATAATAAGACCCAATATATACACTTACCAAAACGGAAGAATAAACCTTACTTCACATATAAGCTTTGGTGTTTTAAGGCTTTTAGGATCAGCCCCGGGTTCGATCGTCCCCTACGCTTGAAGCTTTATCACAGGTTGCAGTAGAACACAGAAAGTTGGAACATTCATACCCTCAGGCTCTTAAGATCCTAGCAAAAATCAAGCACAAATTGTCCGAAACCCATGGTCCAACTTTCTGTGTTTCGCTGTAATGTAGACCCCCCAATAACGCACCTCCGAGTGTTTCGGGCCCTGCTGTGGGGATCCCCACATGTCCCTGCTGTCGTCCCTAAGACTCCATCGTGGCGGCTACGCCCGGTGGCACACCATGGGGTTTAGGGTTTAGGGATCCTCACCCCCTTTCTTCTGGATATCCAGTACGATAGTAGAAGGGCCTTCACAAAATAAAAGCGGTTTTGGGCTTTAGGGGTTGGGTTTGGGACTTCATGTATATACCTGCATCCGAAAACACCTACCTTATCTAAAGTTCTGTATGATGGCTTCTCTAAATACATAAAGCCTTAACTGAAACGGTAGGTTTTGGGGCTACAGGTACGTGTTCAACAGACGGGAGTTGCTCCCCACCAGCTCAAGACTCAGCGCCCGACGGGGCTGTTGCGATACCTGCTCACAGAGACTAACTTGGTGTGGTGTTGTGGGGCTTTAGGGTTTAGTTAGCCCTAGACTCTGCACCCTAAACTAAAAGGATATCCAGATGTAGAGTCTGCAACTTGTGGGTTTGGGCTTGTGTTCGGCTTAGGGCTTGTTCCGCACACAAAAGGCACCAAATGTAGGGGCCTTCAGAATTAGAACAGAGTTTGGGGTATATTGTACTATACTTATAATAAGGAACCCCAAAATAATGTAGTCAATTATTTGGGCCCCTACACTACGAGGGACACCTGTCCAGAAGCGTGGGCTATCGGCTCCATTCCTGTTGCTGCTTGAAGACACACAGGGCTTAGGGTTTAGGGCTTCGGACTACCCGAAACCCTAAATCCTAAACCCGGTTTAGAGAGGCTGGGAGTAGATCCTTGGACTTCGGCAAAGTCTTCTTTACTTGGAGGATCAGGGGACTTCGTAGGTAAGGTTATAGGTCCTTTAAGTGGGGTTATAGGTAAATAGGTAGATCTCGTTGGAGTCCACTGCAGGGGTTCCGTACTGGCCCTACGCACCACACAAGGAAGCGCCAGGGCCACAGTCTGCCAGAAAGTCTAAATCCAAACTCCTACAAACGAAGGCTTAGGATTTAGGGTTTTTTAGGGTTTAGGGTTCAGGGGTTTAGGTGTTTAGGCCCAGTTTAGGGCAGTGTAACAGCAAACCGAAACCCTAAGACCAAGGCCCAGATCCCTGAACTCCCGTTTCCTAGGACACACCAGGCCTCTCGATGTGCTCCTCCAGCCCTTGATGGGGATGTGCCTTCAGCGGTTGAGGCTCAGGGTTTTTTAAAGTGTAGTAGCCCTTCTTAGGGTTTAGGGTTTAGGGTTTAAGGTTTAATGTGCCTTCAGCAGTGGAGGTTCAGGGTTGAGGGTTTATAGCGTTTAGGGAGGTTGGAAGGGGAGACGTGGCGATGATCGCTTCTTCAAGGTGTTTGTGGAAGTTTGTGGCCTGAGGGGTGAGGAGTACTCACAGCTCAGGCTCTCGTTCCTACCGGCAATTGGCAGGTGATCATATACCGTTACTAACCCAGCTACTCCCTCCTCTCCATCCGCGAATGCTCGGCTCATGAGCGAGCTGGCGCAATATTCATCTGCTGTGCAAGCGCCTCCGCTTGATTCCTTCAGCAACTTGGGGAAAGGATGCTTCACCCTCATAAAGCATGTACGCTTTCTGGAAATACTTGGGGTTACTATATATAAGGCTCCTTATAAGCGAAAAATTATACGATGAACCCTTAGAGAGAACATCATGTCGTTTCCGGACGTGGAGCAAATACTCAAATGACAAGTAAAGCGCCAATAAAACAGAAAACAAGCCTTCACCAGGTTTCGGAGTTTCCGAAAATGGAGGACCCTACCCTAGTATAGTATCCCAAGTAGTAGGATCCTTATTATAATAAGGACTCATTCAGGGGTACCCCTAATTTTCGGAAACTCCCATCTATTC